CAGATAGACTCACAACCCCAGGGGGATGGACAGCATGGGTACCCGTGTAAAGTCTGCTTGGTCTGTGGTGGAAACCCCCAAATTTAAAGGCAGGGTGATGCATTGCAGGAGATGGTACTTTACACGAAGTGTAAAACAAACTGATAATTTACCCCCAAAAAAAGAAATTGAAAAAAGTTGCACAGAAACATAACGAACATACTGTAAATAAGAAAAAGAAACAAGCTAAAGAAACCGATAATTTTACAAAGTCTATCGCGATAAGATAAAACAAAGCATGGTTAGACCGATAGAACATCGAACTAAATACACTGCAAATACATGTTACGAAAATGCATACAGATACAGTTAAAAGAAGAGCAGTCAGCAATTGGACAAGTGACCCGGAACTGAGCGGTTTATGCTGGGGGGTGTGCAAATGTAGATCTGGTAGGCGTCGCTGCGCCACCTGCCCAGTGCCTTGATCAACCAGTTCGGAAGGTTTGCGTCGGCAGCTGTCGTGGCTGCACCACTGCGGAAACTGAGTGGTGTAACGGTTAACATCTGGTACAGATGCGCGAGTGAGAAGGTCTCGAATGTGGTTGACACTTTAGAAGGTTCAAGCATTGGGTCTATTAGTAATTCCCTCAAAACTTACATGTGTTCTTTCAGCCTCTAATATTGAGTTTCTATTAGACCTAATACGAGATAGTTCTGTCGCCATGGCAACCTTCACTGCCTTCTGTATTGAGTCTGTAAGCATTTTTTCTGTCTCCTGTAAGACGAAAATATCAGATTACAGGATGCAATGGCACCAAAGGAACAGATGTCTTAGTGCTGCCAAGCTGCAGCGTTATTAGCAAGTAAATCTGTTAATATTACAAGTATTAACCATGTAAGCTGATTTGATGCGTCACCATCGCAGAGTTGTTTTTTTTTAAACTAATTATGTTAATTCCCTGGTGCATTGATCAATTATACATTGATTTTGTGATTTTGAAAAAATTATATTATACATGACGGTTTGGAATTGCAAAAAATTAAAACCAATGAAATTGTTCATAGCTACTGCACATCATGCAAAACTTTGCACAATTCACAAATGATAAGAATGGAGAAAGCGATGCGTTACTAATAAATGGAAAGTTGTTATATTTCATACCTGCTCCCACTGTTTGTGTCGTTGTAGAAATTGCTCTTGATGCTTTTGTAACTCTTCTACTTTTCTGTTCTGTTGCAGAATGTATTCGTCATTTTCTTGACATGCCCTCGTCAGAAATTGCACAGACCCTTCATTGAATTGCTCCGTCTTCGTCACGCCAACAGACAACTAAAAACAAACAAAACAATATTTTTTACAATGCGGGATTGTACCACCGTACCATTACACATGTGT